GAGCCCACTGGTCAGGTCTGCCCCTGGTCTGCCTGTTGATGCACCCTCAGCATCCCTTCATCTGCTCTCTTAGCCCGAGTTGCTGGTGCTTCTGTGGGAGCTCAGTTTACAAAGTTAAGGGCAGACTAGTAAGTGGGGGCCTCAGTTTACCAGTGGGTCTTTGGGCTCGATGAAGCAGGATCAGACTCATGCACAGGTAGGTCTGCTCTCCTCATCTCTAGGTCCGGTGTGTTCATCTCCAGAATCGGACCTCCTTGTCCAGAGGCCCAAGCTTCCTGGCTACATCTGCCACTCCCTTCAAAAGCAGATCCGTGTTTCCCTATGTTTGTGCTCTGCTTCAGGCAGGAGGGGGAGGGGCGATGCTTAGTGGTGCTTGTCAGGTTTTTAAAAAGATTTGATCCAGGGATGCTCTGTATGTCTGTGAAGGTTGCACACTGTACAGTGTTGTCCTAGGGGGCAGCATTTATGTTCCAAAGCTTATTGTTATGATCCTCTCTGAAGCATTCTGAGTTAATAGTGATCATAATATGCCTTTTTGGCTATTTGTATTTTAATGATTAATTATTTAGTAATTAATAAACTCCTTAAGTTAAAGGAACAGTCTTCAATTACACAAAGACTCGTGAAGACCACAGAGGCCGTCTGGAGGCCCAGCTGAGCCATTGTACCACAAGGCTCCGTGCCGTCGGACCAATGATTTCTGCTTTTGTTTTATGTCTGGATATCAGAAGTGACTTTGACCAGGATAGGGACATTCTTCACTGTTCCTCTCACAATGTTAAAATGTGCTTTTTATCATCCTCTTCAAAAGCAAGTGGTGTCTTTAGTCTGAAAGCACTCCCCCACCCCGAAATTATGCCTCAAGATCACTTGCCCCGGAAACACTGGGTCTGAATCCCTGAGCTGGCAGTAGCTGGTGAAATCCGTCTGTTGCTTTCTGATCTGCCCGAAGGCTCCTGCCTGAGGCAAGTCCGGGGGAAGGACCCAATGAGCCCTGGCTGGGTGGGAACAGGGTCTGTGTGCCCTGGGACAAGGCAGACAGCGTCTCCCAGCCTAGTTTTCTCCTCTAAAAAGGGGGGATAATACTTACTTTACCAGGCTGTAGAGAGGATTAAAGTCTATTGTGTAGGTAAATGCTTTATGAATTCTAAAGTGTTGGACAAATACAGAGTGTTGCTGTCTCTGTGGAGGGGACCTGCACCACATAGGCAGTGTCACTGTTTGCGGTCACAGCTCTTAGTCTAGGGGTTTCAAAGCTGAGCGTGCAACAAGAGTCACCTGCATTGTGTGTGCGAAGGGATTCTTGGGCCCACTCCCAGGTTTGTCGGGTCCCGTAGGTCTGGGGTGGAGCCTGAGATTTTGTATTTCTAGCAAGTAGCTGGTGAGGCCCATGCTGAGAATCACTGCATTAAATTGCAATGTATATACTTGTTACTGTAGTAACTATTAGACTCACAGAGAAACCACCATCCACAAATCTTTTAGCCCATCCCAGCGTTTATCCAGGGCCATTTCTTGTTTCTTACGGGGAGATGGGCTTGTGCCCTTCCCTGTCTGCCCAGGTTGTGCGGGAGCACCAGGGGAACTCCACCGGCAGAAGCGGACTTGGGCTCCCGTTCATTAAAGAGTAACTTGTTTCTAATGCAGAGTGGACCACAGGGAGTAGTGTGAAAATGATACAAGCCGATTTTACCAAGGACGACATCTATGACTATATTAAAGAAGAACTTAAAGGCTTAGAAATTGGGATTTTAGGTAAGTGGATTGCAGAGCTTGTAATACATCAGTGAAATAATTATCGTAGTGACATTTGATTATTCCAGAGTGGCTTAAACTTAACTCATAACTGTATTTTAAGCTGTAGCATTAAATGAATATTAAATCTCAATTCTTCAAAAGGCATTACTGGATTAATAGATTTATATATAGCTTTAGCATGCATCAGATTTACACATGTCTACCTACCCAACCATATTTCCTAATATTGAAATGAATTTTCTTTCACTGAACTGATATTGACACTCAACAGGAAGAGGGATTCTCAGAAACGGGGGCCTGAAGGAGCCCATTTAGCAAACACTGTGTGGTTGACCCATGAAAGTGGCAAGACAGTGTGATTATTTGAGTCTTGACTACCTTATTCAGGAAACAAGATAATATTTTTTTCTGGGCTGATTTATAAATGAGCTACTTTGTAACTACATACACAATACAGTGTTTGTATTATTCATAGAAGGAAGATTTGATTTTCGAACTTCCTGCTGAATTTTAAAAATATGCCCCGGCTGCTGTGGCTCAGTTGGTTAGGCATCATCCCACAAAGCAAAAGGTCACGGGTTCAATTCCCAGTCAGGGAATGTGCCTGGGTTGCAGGCTTGGTACGTGGTAGGGTGCATGTGAGAGGCAACCAATCCATGTTTCTCTCTCTCACTTCAACGTTCTTCTCTCTCTCCTTCTCCCTACCTTCCCCTCTCTATAAATAAATAAGTGAAATCTTAAAAACATAATTACTGCTTCTTTTTACTAATAAAAGTGTTAGACATCATTGCAGAAGAACTGGAAAGAGTAGAGAAGCACACAAAAGAATGATAAATTTCTTAAAATCCTGACAGCCTGAGATAGCGTTTTGGTGCATATCCTTCCAGATACATAGTTTCATATATTTACATGCGTTTTACATATTTACACATATTTTCAAAACGGGATTTAATTTACAGTTTTGTAGCATTTTCAAAACGGTACAGCACAGACCTTTCCTGCGCCTCTCAGACTCCAGGCGGCGGTCGCTGGGACAGACTCTGCCGGGCGCCCCAGCCCAGGCTGCGGCAGGGGCGCGCGGGGGCTTCCTTTGTCAGAGCACAGCGGTTCCCTCACTTCCTCTCTGTCGCCAAATCAGGCTGCAGTGGACGACCTCCTATAGGAATGTTTTTGTGCATTATTTCTTTAGAAACACTTTCCAAGAGAAGAATTTCTGGTTGAATGTGATTATTTTTAATGCTTTCAGTAAACATTTGCCAGTGGCTCTTCTGACGTCTTTTTGCTTTACCTCTCCCTGGCAGTCAACAACGTTGGAATGCTTCCAAGCCTTCTCCCGACGCGTTTCCTGAACACACCAGGCGAAATCCAGGTATATCTGAGCTTTCTGGGGACAGTGTCCTCTCATCAGGTACTGGGCTCCAAGGCTGGGTCATCGCCAGGGCCTGGAAAGGGTGTCTGGAAAATTTTGAATTCCAGGTGGATACCTGGAGGTTTCCCTTTCCTTTCATCTTAGTGCTTGACAGACAGGCAAGGGTACCACTGTTCACGGCCATCTCTAGGGAAAGGTCGTCTCTAGGGGAAGGTCGTCTCCGCGCTTCTCTGCACACTGAAACTTACCTGCCCACTGTCTCAGTCTTTTGGGGGCCCTGTGCTCTGCCTTATAAGGGATCATCCTTATAAGGATGACCTTATAAATTTGTAAACTATAAAAATTTACAGTTGTGTATGCAAGTGGGAGGCCAGCTTTGTTTTTTAAATTGTCGTCCTAGGTAATAACATTTGTTCAATTTTCAGTGTGCGGGAAGTCAATGGCACAAACTCCGTGGTTGGGGGTATTGTAAGTCCAGCAAGCTTGGCTCTGAACCGTGGCCACCCTTGTTGGTCATGAGTAAATTTGTTATGCATTTAGCAGTCCTTGAAGGTCCTATTTGTTAGGTCTTCCCCAGGCCCTGACCTTTGATGTCGTGGGGTCATGCCAGTTTGGAGCAGGCTGTCCTGTTTCTGCAGGTATTCCTGTGTTCCTGTGGAAGCCCCGAGTCTACTGAATGGGATTAGAATGCCAGGCTGTTTGGACGTCATTGTACATCCTCGCCGAGCCCTGCTTCACCATTCCTCTAGCCCTGCGGTCCTTGCTTCTGGCGCAAATGTGCGTCTCTTCATTAAGCGGATTCCATTCTTGCTTCTCTTTATTTATGTCTGTATTTGTGTTTGTTTCCGTGTCTGTGTCCCTTTACCTCTCTGTCTTGGGCAGTTCTAGTAGTTTCTTTATCTGGCCTCTGTAGCCCAGAATCTCTACCTAGAACTATACAATCATTTGCCTTTCTGGTCTCTATGTTGTTGCCTTCTAGACTCACACATGCTAACCTCTCTCCCTGCAGCTAGAAATTAACTGTCTCCCTTTGAAAAACTGAGTCCGTATTCCTCTTTAAATTTTTGAGGATACTCAACTTCTATTCAAGGTCACACTTCACAGAAGCGCACAGCATGGATGTCAGATGTGCCCCAGTTCTAGGGCACACTTGCTGAACTTCAGTTAGGAGCCTGAAATGAGTGAGCAAGCAAGGACAGCTCACACACATGCGTGTGCCCACTTTATGGTTCTTTAGCACTGACTGCATCTCAAGAGAACTGAAATGATCTGGCTGATTTGTGGTTATGATTATTTATTACAGAGCCTCATCCATTGTAACATCACCTCAGTAGTAAAGGTATGTGGTCCATGTATGTGCTGAATGCATAAAAGTAGCAGCTGTTAGAACGTGGCAACTCGGGGTAATAGGCCGCTTCCTTGTAGGAGAAGAAATCTCTGAAATTGAACTGCACTTTATTGAGAGGTAACACAGTGGCCTTTTAATGTCTTACTCTGTTTTCATCAAGTACAATGGTGAGTTCATTCTCTCTAGTGTTTAATGCCTATTTCTGCATTGTTTTGTCACATATCAGAGCATATTAGACCTGATGATGCTGAAACTGATTCTGGATTCCGAGCTGACTTTTAAAAAAATATTCAGTACTATCCTCTGATTTTATTCTTATAAACAGAGGAAAACTCACTCTGTTTGGAAAAAAGACAGAGGGCGTGGTGTGGATTTTATGGACTCTTGTTGTTTGATAAATACACAAAAAAACAAAACCCCACCCAAACCAGAATTGTCTTTTGGAGGACAGGACCTTTGCAGTAAGGCTTTCTCCACTAGGTGAGTGTTCTAGGAACTCATCCGTGTCAGTGAACCAGCTGGCGTTGTTGTGAGAGGCTGCATTCTTCTTCAGTGAATTTTTTTAAAAGACTCTTTCGATGCCTGTTTCGTGATAGACCATTTACGAGTCCTCACTGTGCTTGGGTGTTCAGCAGTGTTTAATCAAAAATGGCATGACACCCATGCCCCACCCTCCCTATTTACCTGATCTTGCCCCAGGTGACTTTTTTAGTTTGTTAGTTTCCCTGATGAAAAAGGTCCTCAAAGGGAAACATTTTGCCAAAATGGAAAAGGTGAAACAAAAAAAGGCATCAAAATGGACAAATTCAAAAACTGTTTTGAACAGTAGAAAAAGTGTCTCAATAGGTGCATTGCATCAAATGGAGAGTGCTTTGAATGTGACCGAAGTTTAGACATGTAAGAATAAATACACAATTTTTTATAAATAAATTCTGGGGGCGGGGTTGGGTCCTCTCCTTGTGTTTGTTGACCTGAAGTTCACATGCATGTATATTTCTGACCCCAGCTCAGCTACTAGTTAGTTGGACAGTGCTGGGATGCATTTAACTTCCTTAAATTTCAGATTCTTCATCTGCATTAAAAGTGTTGGGCTAAGCCCTGGCCAATGGAGCTCAGTTGATTAGAATGCCATCCTGTAAACTGGAAGGTGATGGGCTCAATTCCGGGTCAGGGCACACAGCCAGGTTTTGGGTTAAGTCCCTGGTCAGGGTGCACAGGTGAGGCAACTGATCAATATTTCTTTCTCACATCAATGTTTCTTTCCCTCCTTTTCCCTCTCTCTAAAATCAATAAGCCTGTTCTCAGGTGAGGATTATAAAAAAAAGGACTGGACTAAGTGTTGTGTCTGGTGCCATTCAGTGTAAGAATTTATAGATATGACTAGTGCAAGGCTGTCCTATACTGTGCCCTTGATTGAATTAAAAAATCACCCTTTTGGGGCAGTTCGGGAAAGGGGCTACTTAAGAATGGACACGACTCACTGCTTGGTGAGTAGATGGTACTTTTGTGTGAACACAATGTTTTCCTTTCCTCTGAATGGCGAGAGCCCTCTAAATGGCTTGTGAGTGAACCCTGGGCTTTCAGCCCCCAGCCCACCCCTGGGCACCCGGCTCAGCACATGGAAGTATCAACCGCATGTGGCAGCCCTTGTGACCTTTCCATTAGGCCAGTGGACCCGCAGCAGTGAATCAGGCGTGATCCCCGATTTCATGCATCGAGATCGTAGCTGGGCAGCAGCAGGAGGCTCAGTCTCATCTTGGAAGCAGGGACTGGCTGTGGAGGGCTGCCTTCCCAGAGGGACGTCAGTTGCTCTCAACCTAAGAGAGGGGGTGGATGCTGAGAAGACCAAAAAAAAAAAAAAAAAAAGAAAAGAAAAGATTGTTCTCCAGGGGAGTGAGTTGGGCTGAGAATTTTTTTCTTTTCTTTCTTTTTTACCATTGGTTGTTTTTCTGTAAGCACACTGGTGTTTTATAGTTTCCCGCTCAGTTTTTATTAATATACACATTCTTTTTTGCTGAGCAATCAATGGCTTTTTCAAACTCCCAGTTGATATAATTGTAAGTTTTATATGCCCAACTGTTGGCAGACTTACCACTAAAATCTTTCATATTATTTTACATGTTGATCTTTCAGTTTTGGTTCATTTGATCACAGGGCTTCCCAAATGTATTTGATAACCTTTGACTCCTATAGCAGATAAATTTGATTTGTTAAAACATAGTTTACATATTGCTAGACACCAATTTCCCTAAAAACAGAGAAAACACATTGCAGGTTAGGTTGTAAGTACACCATCCCCAGTTGCTTGTGCTGGTTGGAGACAGGACACAAATCTCTTAATTATTCCAGAGGAGCCGTCTGGAAACAGTAGAGATCTCTGTCAAGGGCAGAGATGAGAGATGAGTTTGAGGGCAAAGGAAGGTGAGATCAGAAACTAAGTACTGGGAGCTTTGAGACAGAGACACACAGAGCCTGGCGTTCCCTCTCTAATTGGCATTTCCTGCCCAATGAGCTAGAGAATTTGTGTGGGAGACTCTGAGGATGTGCTCCGTGGACACTCGCCGTGAAGCTGGAAAAGCCCAGGAACGGTGGTGACACAACCTGGCCCTTATCCTTCCCTCACCTCCCTTAAAATCCAGGACTTCAGGAGGCAGTCCCGTGGGCTCTAGGGAGCCCCCTCCCACCACTCCCACCCCCCCCTGCCCCCCACTGACCCAGCCCAGTGGAAATATCGCTCCAGGGGCCCCTGCAGTTGGGCCTAAGGGGCTGGCCTGTGAGGCAGGAGCAGTGGCAGGGCTCCCAGACGACATGGAGAAATAGGCAAAACTTGTCTTCTGGTCCCCATCTTTTTTATTTCTCCGCCTCTTGGCATCCATTTGGTTCCTCTGTGTCTCAAACCTGCTCCCCAGACAGGGCCCAAGTCCACTCAAGTGCACTTTCGAGAACATTTAGACACACAGTTGCCTCCTCCTCAATTCTTAAAATGTGGGCCTTATAATTACGACATGCAAAGCTCTTTTCCCGGGACATTTAAGCCCCAGAAGTGGTAGAGAAGACCTCTTTGAGGTCAGAAGGTTGGGAGGGGGAAGGGACTTCTTAATGTTCCTGTAATTCCGAGAGACAGATAAAAAGACAAGTTCTGTTTAGGGAGGTATTTCACAGACCACCTGCAGGTTGCTTATGTGGCTGCTGCTGAATTGACAGATGTCCTTCTCCACCTCATCCTGTGAACTTGAGATGCTTATGGACCCTTCTGTGGTCTCCCGAGGGTCTCCTAGTCCTAACTCACGGCCAAGGTTTATGCTGGCCAGCCTACTTTTCCCTCTCTCCCAAAGTAAAGAGTATCTGGGGACCTCAGTGTTGGCCTCATGGCTAGAAGCCAATTGCCATAATTTGTCACTGCCCTCATTTTGCAGGAAGACTTTAGCTTTATGGAGGAGAAACCAGAGGCCTCTGAGCAGTTTGCCATTTGTCTGGCTGCCTCTGTGGGTTCCAGCCAGGCTCTGGTGTTGCCAGAACGACCTCCAACAAGTGTCGGCAGAGTTTCAAGCCCATCTGAGATTGAGCAGTTGTCCGGCTTCCTCCCACACCCACTTCCCCAAGTCACGCTGCCCACTGCCGTTTACTTACTTTGTCCAGGCTTAACTCTGACCTTCTCTTGTAGATGACACAGCTGGTTCTGAAACACATGGAATCAAGGTAAGGCCTTTCTTTGAAAAGGAGTAGAGTGGCAAGGTCTCCCAGGTCTGGCAGTCAGACTTGCAGATTGGGGGGATGGAGTTCATCTGGCTGCTACTTTAACAAATGATAAAACTATGATGAAAGGACATGGAGATTACAGAAGAAAAAAAAAACACATTCTGAGCCAGGCCAGCTTTGCAAACAGATAAGCATATTGGAAGGTCAAATATAACATATACTGGAGGGAAGAGAACAGCAGATTCAGCACACATTGTATTAAAAAAATTAACTTATGCTGAGCATGAAAGAAACTTCAGAAGTTGGCCTGAGACCATGACCATCTCTTTGTTATTATGAATTTCAGCTCTTGTCAGAATGAATATTCCAATTTAGTGGTAAAAATCACCACCCTATCAGTGCCTCCATTTATTCTATGTTTTTATCACCCTATTACAACACCCATTTGGGAGCTGTTTTTTTCTTTTTCAGATGGTATTTATTAAAAGCAAATGGTCGGTAGTTTTATCTTCCCTAGAGGAAGAAAGGGCTTGGCTCTGGATTCTAAAGTGCAGTTTCTTGGTTTTTCTGAATTGAACCCATCTCACTGGGACGGATTAAAGAGATTAAATTTCAAAAGGAAAAGGGAGGACCCCAGAGACTTGTGTGGGGTGCCTGAGTGAGCAGATGATGGACTGTCAAATTCCACCAAGACACACGGTATCTGTCTTGTCGTGGGTCGTCTCTATGAGTCCAAAGGGAACTTGAGCTCCTGTGGCCACATTTGAGAGAGAAGGATCTCTTCCCCTGATCTTGTCTGAGCTCAGCTGGTTTTCTGAATTTCGGTGGGGGAACCTTTGTTACAGCAGAGCCCATTTCCAGTCACAAGCCCTGATGTCAACTGACTGCCGAGTGACATCATTGTGCGGTGCCACAGTCCATGATGAAGGGAAGTTCCACTCCGAGTCCTTGGAACCAGAGCAGTCAGTGTGCGTGGAAACCTAGAGAGGATGGAGTTTCCCCAGCATTCACGAGAGTCCCTTTGTTTTCTTCCTTCTCAAGGTGTGATAGGCAGCAAAGCAACCAAAACTTTGCTTCTTTGCCTTTTAGGCAGAAAGGGCTCATCTTGAACATTTCTTCTGGGGTGGCCCTCTTTCCCTGGCCTCTATACTCCTTGTATTCAGCTTCCAAGGTGAGTGACAGCATGTAGTTTGAGTCCCCTTCCCCTTCTTCCTCTTGCTTCTCCCAGTCGGCATTCCCTTTTGGATTGTCTGACCAGTGGATGGGCAGATCTGCCAGGAGGCGCTCTTCTGTGCACAGGGTGGAGCGTTAGTCAGCAGGTGTGTGGGTGCAAACTGGGAGAAGGCACTGCTGCCGAGCTAAGGCCTGAATGCCCTGCAAGCCGGGCATGAACAGCCCCTGGGGGCCTCCAGCCCTCACACACCTCCTCGCCTGGAGACCCTGCTGCTTTCCTGTCAGCAAGTAACACTGGTTTTCTTCCTGCCCTGGAGGTCTAGCCAGGTATTCTCAGGCCTTAGTCTAAAAAACAAACTCTCAGAGGAGGGGTTGATCTGCACAAGAGACTGCTCCCCTGGTTTGGGTCACTTATGTGCAGTGGTTGGAGGTGTGCACCTATCCCCAAATGTATCTTCCCACCGATTGAAGGAGCTCTTCTCAGACTGAGAAATGAAGTCCTAACTTCCACTGAGAGAAGCTGCTGTATTTTAAGATAAAGGCTCCTGTGGCACCCTTTCGAATCTGAGTAAGTGGGTTTTGATGGAGAGCGCAAGCTCTGGGTCCTGAGGTGTTTCTCCTTCTTGTTTCAGGCTTTTGTGTGCACATTTTCCAAGGCACTGCAAGCAGAATACAAAGCGAAAGGAATCATTATCCAGGTGAGGTTAACAGTTCTGAGTCCACGGGAATAACTCCAGATCCTCATTAAGCTGGGGCCACTGCCCCCTGCAGGACTCGTGGTGCAAGTGCAGCTGGGAGGAAGGTGGTCTGAATGACACTCCCATGACCATTGTGCTGGCCACTGTGCCGCCTCAGTACCACCTGCTGCCACTCTCCCTCTGCCCTGGGTGCTGGCTCAGGAACTGGGCAAGGTGAGTGAGCACTCAGAATGCTGTCGACCCTCTTGCTACCTTCATTCTCTGATAGAGGCACAGAAGACAGGCTTACGTGGGAGGAATCGAGGGGAGGGAATAGAAGCACACTGGGCACTCAGCCCATGTTGGGAGGAGTGGGGGTCTCCCTTGCCAGCTGTCCACCTGTGATGGGCCCACTCGGGGTCCTGAGCAGTCGGGGAAGAGGTGCTCTGCTTCCCCTTTCACCAGCAATGGCAAGACTCTCGTGGAGATGACCTTGTCCTGAGTGCAAAGGGGTTGGGTTATCACTGCTGTCTGCAGGCTGAGCAATATGACACCTTGAGGTGTCAGTGATACACAGGTGGTTGGCTCAGCAACACAGTCCACTGGTCTCTAGAACCTGGAACAGAAAGTTTGCAGAGGAAAGCCATGTGACATACTATTAGAAATGAAAAGGGCACACTTGCAGCGATATCTTTAAAATTATTGGCATGCATACTGATTTTCAATTAGAATACTCAGGTGAGACGATCTCGGGTTGCTATGCTTATAAATTAACCAGATATAGGATAAAGCTTACTCAAAAGGCAGATATGAATTAATGGTGAGGGTTTTGCAAATAACATAAACCTCCCAGCCACGGTGACTGTAACAGCCAGGTCATGACACTAGACCACAGTGTTGTTCTTTGCCCCGACGAACCAAAGCCTCATCTATCAGATAGTTTTCTTTCCTGTTCATCTTCCAACTGCCAGCTGAAGACAGATTCCTTTTGTGAAAGTGCTGTCCCATGTAGGCAGTTTGCTGTAGTAAAAAATAAACCTTTAAAATCTTGCTGACTTAAACAAGGTTTAGTTCTCATTCATGATGCAGTTACTGTGAGCTGCCAGATGGGAATTGCTCCAGGTAGTGACACAGGGACCCAGGCTGATGGAGCAGCTGCCATTTTGGATGTCATCAGTTGACATGCCAGAGAAAAAGTGGTAGGAATTCTAGAGGATCTTGCTTTGATTATTAAATACCTTGGCTCAGAAAAGACATGGCACTTTTGCTCACACTCATTGGCCATATCTGGTCACACGGACCCACACAACCACAGGGGTCCAGGAAGTGCAATTCTATCACGTGTATGGGAGAAAAAGAACTAGAAATAGTTGGTGAACAACACTATTCATTATCAGAGCTGTTTGGTTACTAGCCATGTGAATGTGACTCTTAGCATCGTCTTGACCTTGATAATTGTGGTCCAGGGGTGCTGCGGCTGCCAAGTTAGTGGGTTCCCTGGGGCAGGAGGTGGGGCAGGGAAGGGAGCCCCTTCCTTGATGCAGAAAACTTCGTGCTGTTCTCCTAGCAAGTATGAGAAGGTGGAAAGACTCTGTGATCTTTCAAAAGCCAACTGGCCCCTCCAAACACGTAAGTAATTGGTACTCAATAAATAAAAATTTGTTAAATGGGCAAGGAAGTATGAACTATAGACTTGAGTTTGATTTTCAAATTCCAGCTCTGCCTCTTATCATCTGAGTGATCCTGGAAAGCCTGCTTAAATTTTGTGAGCCTCAGTTTCCCCATCTGTAAAAAGGGCTTTACAATGCCTGCTTACCTCTCTAGATTACTATAAAGATCTAATGAATAAACAGGTATGCAAGTTTCATCACTATTTTCTACAATGAGGTGTTTTGTCAGCCAAATCTCACCATAGGAATGAAAATTATTATTTCCATGTCTGGAAATGGGCTGGGAGTACATGCTCCTATATCTCTCTAAGAGTAACACTTTGAGATCTTTGGAAGAAAAGTGCTGTGCAAATTAATAACTGCATTAATTTCCATGAGAACCAATTCAATGGGATTGATTCATTATTAGATTCAGTTATGCACAATGTTATTTCGAGTGTGATGTGAAGAAAATGTGATATGACAAAAGTTGCAAATGTGATTAGAAGAAAAATAAAACGAACAAACAAACCAAGCATGGATCTTTTTCTCTCTCTAAAGATGCTGCTAAGGTCTCTATGTCTGGGGAAAAAGTAAGAAACCCCTTGTGCAACCTCACGCCAGGGCATTCAGCGGTGCGACCAGGCAACAACAGTGTCAGATTTGGGGGCACAACATGTGGTTGGTTTCTTCTCCTCACCAGGACAGGACAGATGATGAGACCTGTGCCACTCCTGGCTCCTAACTGAAGTGTGACAGTGGGGACCCAGAGTGCTTTAAATTTCTCCAACTTTGGCTATAGAGGTTACAAATCAAACTTCTGGGGTAGGGTTGCCAGATAAAACACAAGAGATCCAATTAAATTTGAGTTTCAGATAAATAGCAAATAAATTTTTAAATGTAAGTATAGCCCATGGAATACTTAGGGCAGAATTATACTGAATTATTTTGTTGTTCTCTTGGATTCAGTTTAACTGGGTGTCCTGCGCTTTTATTTTCAAAGTCTGGCAACCGTATTCTGAGAGACACCCCATGACCTCCGTCCCCTGTGTGAACCCCCTGGCAGTGTGTGGCCAAGGCCTCCCCTTGAGTTAGCGGCGAGTGAAGCTGCAAACCTGATTGCCCACTCTGGGCCAGTCCCTTGCCTTTTCAGTGCTTCCTTATCATTTTTGATCCTGAAACTTTTTATGGGAAGGGCAGAGTTGGAAAACCAGGGGATGGGGAAATGCGGGTTCATTTTTCAGGGCTGGGCAGACTGCTCCTGTGTTACAGCTTTATTTCCCATTGTAGGTGCTGACCCCATTCGCTGTTTCGACCCCAATGACAAAGTGTCTCAATACCAGCCTGATAACCAAGACCGCCAATGAGTTTGTTAAAGAATCACTGAACTATGTCATGATTGGAGATGAAACCTGTGGCTGCCTCGTCCATGAAATCTTGGTAATTGATAACTAACTTCTCCTTTCTCGAAGCAAGTGAGGACGGGTGTGCCGGTGGCCCTCGCAGGGGTGGGCCAGCTCTTCCTCGCTACCGGAGACCTGGGTGCTCAGCCCACAACTAACCTCCAAGCTGGCAGATCTC